TGTAGAGTGTGCCTAAGGAGAGTCACATAGAGAGAAAACATTCTCTCAGGCTTTCACAGAGAGCACATTGGGCATGCAATGGCCGTAACTCATCCACATGGCTGACACTGACAAAGGTTGTACTATCTGAGGTACAGACTCTCAGGATAAATCCTGAGGGGATTTCACTGACCTTTATCAGATCCAAAAGCTACACCTCTTCTTGCATAGGTCTTGCTTTATCTTGGTCTTACCATCCCACAGAAAAGTATAAAAACGAAGTATAAGAAGTAAAGCCATGCTGTTATGTTGAGGTGTAGGGGACTCAGGTCAACAATTTCTGACATTTCCAGTGAAGAGCAAGACCCAATACTACTATGGACTACTGGACTCTTAGAATATTTTGCTGAGTTAACACACCTATATTCAAATGACAGAACAAAAAAGGGTATAGAGATGAATGTCCATTTTGTATCTGTGTATTCAAAATGGTTAGGATACATAGTTACATTCTCTTAATGAATAGAGGGATTTGTAATAGTGTTTGTAAACAGGATATCATGTCTGCATCTTGTACAGCAAATAACCACTAGGAAGAGAGTATGCAATGTGTTAATTGTTGAAATTGTCATACCAATTTGATTTGAAACTGTCTCATTGCTATTTGTCTCTCAATAAAATGATGGAAAAAAATATATATATGTGACCAGAAATTCATTTTCCACAGTTAAAGATATCATTTTATAGTGATAGAAGTGTAACCAATAGCAGCACAATTTTTTCATTTTTTATGCATTTAGTACAGGGTCTACAGGGTCTCACTACATAGATCCGATTTGTGATTCTCCTGCTTTGAGCCTCGCAAGTGCTGGAATTAGAGGCGTGTGCCACCATGCCCAGTCTGCTGCAGTGTCAGCACGCTACAGGGATAGGGCCTGCATAGCATGCCAGGGATTGTACTTCCACTGCTGTACTCTGCCTAAGCGGGCGCTTTGGTCCCCTGAGCTATCTGGCAGGCCCTTATGGTAACACAATTTATAACAGCTGAATTTTGCAAAAACAGATGACGAGATTCAAAAACGTGGTGTTTGCCACTCTGCCCTAAGGAAGGATAAACCTGAGTTATCTGATAGTTTGAAACCACAATATTAAGTGAAATTAATCAGACACACAAGCTTAAACATCATGTGGTTTTATTACATTTGGCTGAAAACCTCATGTTATAATACATGGGGCTTTTTCAGAGATGGCTGTATCTGGTGATTTGTTCATGGTGCAATGCTAGGATAAAGGGTACTAGGTTTAAGGGCGGATGATTACTGAATCAGTCCACTGACTGGTTGACACCACCCTAATCACTGTAGACTGGATAAATTCAAGTTAGAAAGAGGATTTCCCGTCTCTGGCTTGCTTTTCTACCTTCTGACGCCATGAAGTGTTTCTCTTCTGTAATGCCTGTCTGCCATGCCACCCTATGTTGGTGCCAGCTGATCATGAACTGAAGCTAAATAAAACATTCCCCTTTAACTTCAGGTGTACGTAATAGGAAACTGGGAGACCTTTTTCAAATGAGAAAAGGAACAAAATATGGAGGGCGGAGAGAAGGAAAAAAGGGAAAGGGGATGAAAAAAAACAAAAACAAAAAAAACCAGTTAAGAGCTTCAGGAACTGAGAAGGGGAGCAAACAACGGAAGGAGCAGGGAGTACAGGGCTGGGGGTGAGGGAACTGAGGGGAGCTGTGTGCACGCCACAACTGACCATGACAACATATAATCATCATGTACTGAAAACTGTGTACTAATACAAATTTTAAAAAATTAAAAAAGAGGGTGGGGGATAGAGCTCAATGGCACTGCACCTGCCTGGCAAGTCCAAGGTCCTGAGTTCAATTCCCAGTACCAAATAAACACAAAATAAAGGGTGTCATTGGTTCAAGTGCTGACTGCAATATGACTTCTGTAGGAGATATTAATTAAAGGACTGGGCAATCAACAGTAACATAGGGCTTCAACATCTGGCCAAAACCCGATAAATTAGCTCTCACACATACAAAAAAATGAAAAAGCCCACCTAGCGTTTAATAAAAATATGCATAAAATATTTGTGATATCCATAAAGTTTATTTTAAAAAAACTGTTAAAAACTAACCATACAGGAATATTTAATATACTTAAAAAGTCTGTTCCCCATGTTGAAGGAAAATACATTTGCAACATCTTCCAGACATCATCTTTATAAAAGTAAAACTTCTAGATGCTGAAATGCACTACAGTAGACTCTATAGTTTATACTTTAGTCACAGGATTAGAATTGTTTCTTCCTATCCCCCCACCCCAGTGTGGCAGTTATCACTCTTAAGTTAATGACATTCAATCATGTTATATTACCATAGGTCCTTAAATAGAGTACACACTGTTTATTTACTAACAGAGCAAGTCTTCTCTATTTGATGTCACATAATTATTTCCAATAAGCATTTGATTTAAATACAAATAAAAATACTACATCCCATGATTGTAAACATTCACCAAGAGCTTCCAGAGTACAATGAGTCACAGAGGCGGCCCCAGTGTTGCTCATTCATCTGGACACTGCTGAGACTAGGAACAGCTGTTTTGAAGGCAAGTACTGCAATAAGCCTTCCTTGTATTTAAGAAAGTAGTTCTGTATATATAGTTTGGAAACACCTGAAAGTCATTCTAGAGACTACGTAATTAAGCACCATTTCCACTTACCTGAAACATAGTTAAATTCAGCAGTATGTATGATCATAAATATTAGAAATTAAAAATAACTGGGTCTCCAGTTCCCTCCTGTGGACATATACAGAGTACTGAGTTCTGACTGGTACTAACAGGAACCACCATGCACACCAAGGGCAGTTAACTCCCCAGGGCCACATGCAACCCATAAATCTGAGGCACAACTATTACTTCTGTCCATGGATGCTATACAAGCAGATTTAAGGCTGTATTCGGCTATAAAGAGTTCTATCTTCTCTTTTAATATTTCATGTAGACCACATACATGATTCAAAATTTTGTAGGATGGGGGGCGAAAAGTCCCCAAATAATTTTTTAAATACTATTCTCCTTACAATTCTTAGTCAGCATATTTACATAAGGGAGTGGAGAGTATTCATACTTAAAACCATTTTTAAAAATGCAGTGCAGATTTTCAATTTCCCTTGGATTATCTTCATTTTCATCTTCTGACTTTTGGCTGACTTCACATTTGTCAGATTGTTCACTGCAGTTCTTAAGCAAATCTCATATTATCTCCAAGAATAAAAATTTAAAAATATTCACTGCCACCCACTTTGGGACAGGCTTGGCTGCAAAGAAAATGGTGTTCCTGGTGTTGAGGGGTAACTGGGAAAGCCATCAGGCTGAGCTGGGTAGCTTTCTAGAGCTGAAGCTGAATGGACCTGC